GGAATATATTATCATCAACTTGCATATAACCATTCTTTTAAGACTAACAAGAATCAATCAAAATAATGACTGCATGCACACTATTTACTGCTAATAATATACAATATAACCTGTTTTCAATGTTAAATTGGAAGAAAAACAATGAAACAAGTTTAAATTCAAGTACTTTCACTGATTTTAATGTAGCATCTTTAGGAATCCAAACCCACACACTAGATAAACAGCATCTTTCATATTGCTTTGTAAAATTTTAAATGTTGTTCTGTAACAACTGTATTCCTGATGTCATTGACATTAAAATTAACAAAAGTATTTGAATTTAAACTTGTTTCACTATTTTTCCCCCTTCTAATTTAACACCTGGAAAACAGGTCATATCATATTCTATAACAAGAATTTATAAAGAAATAAAAAATAAAAATGAATTTTTAATTTTAAAAAATTCTGAAATTTAATTTTTCAAAAGGAATTTTAAGTTTTATAAAGTTAAATATTTTTATAATTATTTATTAATTATAAATAATTAAAATAATATTTTTTTTCTGAAAATGATTCTCTGTATCAATATATTGATTTGAAAGTTATTTCAAAAAATATAATTTACTCTAATCAGTTAAAAAACAAAAAGTCTATGATTAAATAAGATTAAAAAGATCAGAGGAAGCAAGATACAAAAAATTTTATGCAAAGAAAAAAATCCAGCAAAGGGTTGCTTAACTTTCCAGGCTGTTATGAGCTTTTATTAAAAATATAACTTTTATAGTATTAATATAGTATAATAAAAAGACAACAGGTTTAATTTTGAGGCTAGGGACGTGTTTTAAAAATACTGTAAATGCCAATAATGATTAAAATTTTCTTAAGTCTAATCCCATCCAAAACACATGACTCTATCTATCTCCTCAACCTTTTATCATCAAAATTTAATATCATCAATGTCCCTTATATCTAAGTTACCACACCAAATTTGTTTCTTAATCTTAATACATTCTGAAATATTAAATAAAATAGATACCAACACATACACATGTTCTAGATATCAGTTTTTTTGACATTTTCAGATTCAGAGGTATCAAAACATTAAGATTCCAAATACCCAGAGGATCAAATGTTACAATATTATATAACAACAGCCAGGAAAATAACAGGAAAGTAAAAATTTGAAATGATTATGATATTTTTCTTTGTATTATATTACAGCAATATTATATTATAACAGCCAAGAAAGTAAAAAATCAGGAAAAAAGAATGATCAAGGCACATTTTTTGTAATTATATTAACATTTTGATTATTGATATTCAATCTAATTGTAAAAATTAGACTGTTGAGAAAAATGAATTCAATATCCAAGAAGACAATCATGATATTGAAAAATAAAATCTGTTTAAAAAATGCAGAAATTTAAAATCATTAAATTTTATTTTTCACTGAAAATTTAAGGTTTTATTTTATTAAATAGTCTTTTGTTAATTAAAAAAAAAAAAAAGCTAAAATAATCAACTTACTTGGGCATAGCATCAAGTAAACTGTTGACCACTGTCCAAGGTACATATGTGTGATTTAAAATTAAACTTTTAACATTTAAAGCTTTATCCATATGAACTGGAACAGTATCTTCCATATCATTATGACTTAAATTAAGGAACCAGAGATTGGGCATTTTAGAAATGATGTAATTTACCTATTTACATATATATCTGATTAATGAATTATTTTACAATATAATTTGTTTTTATTTAAACTAAATATCTTAAAAACAATTTTAGCTGTAAAATAAAATATACTAAGTCCTACTTTTTGTAAAGGTGTATTATCCCTTGAAAATTGTTTATTATACAAAAGTTTATTAAATAAAAATTAAATTTATCATTCATTAAAAAATAAAAAATCAAAAATATGATGAATCTGAACAATGCACATGATTATATGCATATACCAATAATTCAAGAAAAGTATATAGAGTAAGACCCCGCTTAACACGAGGGATAGGTTCATAGACGACAAAGCACTAAACAAAACAGTGTTAAACAAATTAAACAAAGTCATTTCAACATAGAGTAAATAAGGAAAGGGGAACACACAACCAAAAATAAACAGATTTTAGTTTAATTTTAAGTTACTTTTATATTAATTTGCATAATAATATATGTTAAATAACACATATACATATGCAAACAGAAATGTAAAGTTCATTATTTGTGATGAAAATCTTTGCTCTTCTGAAATTCTTGTTTTTTGTGATAAAGTCATTTAGTGTTATTTGTCGCTTTTTTTCTTTTCTTAAGCAAATGTCGATAGCAAGAGATTGCATCCAAAATGCCTCATTTTGTTTTTGCACTCCTTTCAAAATCTGGATCATTCACTACAATTTAATCAACAATTTCGGTTATCATTACCAAACTTTTACTAAGGAAATCTATAGAGAAATTCTTTGGGTCCTTCGTTATCAGAATCACTATATTCCAGTTCTACATGAATTCCTTGTTCTGCCAGTTCTTGAAGGTCATCATTGGTAAGGCTCTCACCAGAAACCTGCAGTAACTCCTCAATATCCTGCTCATCTACATCTCCTAGTCCTGCAGTATCACTTAGGTTGACAATTTGGTCATCCTAATGATACAGTGATAGGTTCTTCTCATTGAGAATTCTTGCATACTTCGTTCATGCATTTATCAGTTAATTCTTGCCAAGTGAAGTTGATATTGCCTTTGGCATCCATGATGTTATGTTTTTTCCAAAATTGCACCAAACAAACATGGATTTAAGGAAAGTACAGAGCTATGATGAATTTCCACCTTTTGCTAATTGGTTCATGTTTAGGAATAATTGTATTATATACAAATAACGAAAAGCTGAGATAATTTGAATCAGAGTAAATTTTGAGCCTTTTTTTAGGCTTCGAGCAGACCACGTTATATCGATTCAGAGTTTATCAAGGCAGCATTAAGTGGGGTCTTACTGTAAATACATAATCAGATGAATCTAATGAGATAATTCATATATTCAGAATGATTATGTAAGAGACGCAAATTAAAAGGTGCAACAGATGTATAATTAAAGCTGGAAATTTGCTTTCAACATATTAAATGTCTAATTTTTTGTTAGAAATATTAAAGAATTGATATAGTGTCCCTGTATTAAAGAATGAATATAAGAACACCATATCTGTTTATTTATTTATTGTAGTAAACAAAAAATTACTTTAAATTAATGTTGTAAATTGAAACAAGTATCTAACAACAAAGAATTTATTATTATTAATTATTAACACACAGAATATTATAAAATCTGAACTTAAAATACACAAATAACATTTGAAAACAATTTAGAAATAAATGCGTTGTTTTCTTACAAAAGAGTTGTTTCATTTTTCATATTTGTGTCTTAAAAATATAACATTAATTTTATAATAATTTACTTTTATATTTGTTTGTTTTTTACTGTATGTATTGGTATGTATTCCAAAGTTTTAATGTAATTTATGTGCATTATTTGTTTGATCATTTAAGAATGTTATAAATGCATGGGTATGATGCATGCATCTATAGTGTTTAGAATATTCTTGAATTCATCATTTGATTTATGGAATGTGTAAACCTGAGGATCATCTCTTAAAAGTTTGAGAACTTTTAAGAGATATCTTCCTTTTTTAGTTAGAAAATTTCTATACCTCCAAAGCTTTTCATAAAAGCATACTGACTTACAGTTTTTCAGGATGTATTTTATTCTAATAAAACTAAGATTACTTATAATTCTTTTATAGTTCACAATTATATTTCAACAAAACAAAAGTAAAATACTTACTGCTAAATTAATTGAATACAGCTGTTTAGTATGGAAGAAAACATTTGCTATAGTAAGTTTTATATGTTTTTTGCTGGATTTTTGATATTGTGTGCTGGTTTTCTTTAAATTAATTGAAATTTTAAAGATGACTATGATGTAAAGATGTAATTACATCATAGTCAGAACTGCAAAAATAACTTATAATGTAATGAGCATTATTTAATGTGACATCATCACAATGCTGGGCTGCAATTTTTAATCATATTTTTAATTTATTTAATTTAAAATATATGTTCTCCATCTCAAAATAGTATTGCTTGCCTCTATACATAATAGTTTTCCTGTTAGAAAAGAGTCATGCGAGAGAGGTTATCTATATAACATCTTTCAGAGAAAAATTTTTTGGAATTGAAATAACACGACTTTCAGTTTTCACTGGAAATTCATATATAGTTAATCAGGGCCTCTTGCCCCTAAACTTTCCATATCTAATCTCAACTTTAATCTGTCTAACTCTGTTCTTGAGATTAAAAAAGGACAGGCAGATAACAAACAACAATGGGAATTTAAAGTTCTACAATTTTTTCAAATTGTAGACCAACAATATTAATAAAATAAAAAAGACACACAAGTGTTTTTAATGCTATATTGTATTGAAACTATAGATAGAATAATAAATGCATGTTGGAGTTGCACCTAAAAATAAACAGTAACATTAATCATTTCTTTGTGAACCCTAAAAACAGTTTACACCTTATTAAGGAGGTGCATCCAACAGTTTAAGAACTACTGACTTATAGTTCTTAAAAATATTTGTTTTTATAAAAATTAATTGCTGCTAATTACAGGTTTTGATTATTTTCTATTTGTTATTTATTTTTAATAATTTTTTTAGAAAATACAATAAAAAAGTCTATAAATATTTGGCATAAAAACAAATTTTCATTATGTAAAAATTTAGTTGATCATTGATCCTGTTAAAAAATTATGTAAATAAAGAGAGAAAGTATAAAAAGAAGAATAGAAAAACTGTGTGGTGAAATGCTACAATGAGCAGATGTTATAAAAATGATTTTATATCTGAATTTCCTCATTTATTAAATACTACTCTTGGAATATAAAGTTGAAATTAGTGTCATCCAAATATCAAGAAGCATGTGAGATGAATCAAGTGGGCTGATGAATTCTGTCAAATAAATGTGAAATCAGACTCAATATAACATGTTCTTACATTAAATATCAAAATTTTTTAAAATAAAACTAATAACACATTTTAAAAAATTAAAAATTATTTTTAAAAAACTGGGTTTACTAAACTCATTCATGACATTAATATTTTCACTTTAATAATTCTAATGACAGTTAAATTCTATTCATTATATATTTGTAAATATCATGCAATAAGGAAGACAGAACTTCCTATAATACATTTGATTGAGCAAAAAGGATATATGCTTGAAGTATTAAACAGAATAATGCAGCAAATAGTCAAAGTCCTTTGTGTCAATTCTGATACAAAATAACTTTATACTTTGTTATTTCATCTGCTAAATTGAAACTGCAAATATTAAAAGTGATGATTAGAATGAAATAAGAAACAACCTTTAATCCAGCAATTAATTACAACTGTTGGATTAAAGGTTATGAATTAATCACATTTAAATAACAAACATTTTCAACTGAATTTATCAGCTATCTTCATATTTATGTGTAGATTTGATAATGTAGCTTGTAATCACTCATTTTATTTTTTGTTCTGTACTAAGAAGCTAAAGACGATCAATAAATAAAACCATAAAAATTGTTATTTAATTATAACTAATACTAAATTAAAAGTTGTTTATTCTATTTAGCTGCTAAATTATATTAGATTAACTATTTAAAGTTTTTTACAGATATTAAACTTTGTTTTATTGATCTTAAATAAAATAACTTATTACTAATAGCATCCTTAACATTTTACAAATTTGTTTACATTTTAAAGAATATATCAATATGTAAAAAAGTTTCTTGTAATTTGAAAGTCTTTTATACATTGTGATGATCATATTCTTAGCTTTTCTTTAATTCACTGTTATAAACTTTATTTTGTATGAATTTTTAGGAGTTTTTAATTGATATATGATTTTCATGTATCTTTATGAATTTTGAAAAAGATTGTCCCAATATACATTTATCAATTAAAAGATTTAATGAGAATTACTTTTAGGTATACTAAATACTTAGATTGGACATCATGCCAACAGTTGTATTAACTCAATTAAAAATTTCAGATAAGGAGGCGTTAAAGAAATTTAAAAAAATATTTTATTTCTGCAAGCGTTCTTGATGTAATTATGCACATCATCTTCAGGCAGTTTGAATAACAAAGAGATTTTGAATGGAATATTTAAATTTAAACAGTAACGACATTAGCCGTTTTGGAACATAACTTTTAAGAATAAATAAATCAAACTGCCTGAGGACGATGTGTGTAATTACATCAAAAACACTTGCAGAAATAAAATATTTCTTTTAATTTCTTTAATGCCTCCTTATCTGGAGAATTACTTTTTCTTAATTTTTAGAAATAACTTTAAGATTTTTCAGGAACTCGGCACTTAATTAAAAGTTTATATTTTTGATTTAGGACAACACAGCAAATTATTAAGAGATGACACAATCTTTATGAAAAATGTGACAAAAAATAAAGTTTGTATAATTCTAAGTAAAAATTATTTTTTTTATTTCTTCTCTTGTCCTTTTTAAAGGGATTTCGCTCACCATTAAGTTTTTAAAAACCTTACCAATTTTATCAAAAGGCTGACATGTTTTATTTTTTCTCCCATCACTTTGACAGTGTTACAGTTTATCCTTTATATACATAAATGAGAGTGTTTGTTTGTTTGCTATGCAGTCCTAAGCTGTCTGACCAATTGCTTTAAAACTCAGCTGTTATGTTAAAATACTTCTAACTTAGATAATGTCACACATATCACCCTGAAATATTGATTTATTTTCTATATATCATATATATATATATATATGACACTATAGCATTATTGTGACAAGTAGCACATAACACTTGTGCGCAGCCACTCAAAAGGGTTATACTGTAAAAACTATGAATAAAAAAAAAACAACCTGCAATATTTAACTTAATAGTTAAATATTGAAGATTTGTTTTTCACCTTAGTTAAATATTGCAGGTTATTTTTTCCCTTTATAAATTATTTTAATGTATATATTAAGTTAAATGTTAAATGTAAGTTTTTTGCAATTGTTTTAGATATCTGTATTTATGTAATTGTGACTGAAGAGGATCTAGTGATGATTGAAATGCATCTCACAAATAAAATTAGTCTCCTTTTCTTGATGAGAACTCAATTATTTGGCTCCATTACAGCTTGATAAGCCTCGTACATCTCTACCAATTAGTTATTTGAGATAATTATTTTATTTAATTTATTAGAGGCAAGAAGCTTACAACTATTTTCTAATATTTTCCTTATTCTAATAATTATTCTATAATACTTACTATTTACAAGAACATACTTCCCACATAGTTTACAGACATTCTGATAATGTTCTTAAAATGGGTTATACCAAGTACATTTTTCAAATTTACGATTAACTTAATAACAATGGGTATAAGAAGCTAGTATTAATATAAAAGAAAATATTTTTGTACAAATATAAAAAAGTATAGTTTAGAATTTAAAGTTTGATGTTGGCATAAAATATCAGTGGATGATGGGGTGATGGATGTCACAACCCTGTGGATATTATGTTTTATTTTGTTAATTTCTCATATTTATGTTTTATAAATTTATTATTGTTTAAATGCTCAATAATTTAATTTTATCTAATTTTTTATACATTTTTTCTACAACTGTAATCACTTAAATTATTAATAAATGTGTCTCATAACTCTCATGAGAAAAAATGAGAACGAGAATGTTTGATGAATGTTAGTTAAAGCAAATTTTGTCCTGTCTCTTTTTAGCAGAAACGAGAAACACAAACATAAAGATCATTTATTACATAACAATCAGTACTCTGTACATTGAAAATACAAAATTCTGAAAGTTAACATTGTGTGCTTAAACAGTTGCCATTTTAGACTTCTGATCAATCATGTTCTCAGTAGAAATATCATATTAGTTTAGTAGAGCCATTTATTATAATCATGGAAATTGTTATTAGTCTTTTAATGTTATCATAATCAGAATAAACAAACTGAAAACATATGTTAAATTATACAGATAAAACTTTTCTTATTAGAATCAGATACAGTAGAGCGTTTATTATCCGAAAGTCAATCATCCAAAAGAATTCCAGTCAGCAAATTTAAATTTTCGTCAGTGCTGTGGCGCTGCAATCTTTGGCTATGTCTTTGGCTACTCAAATATTTTACGTTTTTGATACTAAATTAACTTCTGAAGTATAATTTTTTATTGTTTTTATATTTTTCAATATATTTATTTTGTTCGTATAAAATAAAAAAATAATTTTTAATGATACAATAGTCTTCATTAGACTTAACATCGACGAAAATTCAACGC